TCGACTAGTTCACAAAGACACACTCACTACTGTCATATATTTAAAATTTGTTTTTAATTACAATTTCAAGTCGAGAGTTAGTGTTTTTTATGTTATTTTTTTCATACAGATAATCATAGGATGATTTATAGAGCAGTAGTCATAGCTGCACTATGGCAAATAACAGTCATAAACCACCGCCAGAAAATAGGTCCGTGCAACTGCTTTCTTCTGAGCAAAAAGTGTGGTAACATTTTAATATGTTGCATTATCACTATTTCGTGATGCAATTCCTGCTGTCATGGGCTGGATTTATTTATCAAATTTAATCCAAATTATTAATATTCACTGTACCACTATATATATATATATATATATATATATATATATATATATATATATATACTAGTAGCGTGGCCCGGCGTTGCCCGTGCTTGATTCAAAAATCGTACGACTCATACAGCAATCACTATCACTTGACTTAAAATATTTTTGCCCTTCCGACTGATTTGTACCAAAATTTACATGCACATGCTCCAAGTTAGCAGGAAGTCCAAGACAGACTTTGCATTTCCCAACTCCCATCGATAGTGGAAATAATCGATTTTTTCATGCTTCTACGGCAGTCTTCATGTAGTTTGCGGCCATTTTCTACTGGCCAGAGTGAGAGTCTATAGCTGGCTGCCACGAATAGGCAGGAAGATTCTATTGGCCACCGTGAGAGCCAACAGCTGACTGACACGAATATTAACTAGCATGCTAGCATGCAAAAATAATCGATAGCTCTATTCGTCACAAGTGGGAAGAATTTAAATCTGCATGACACTTTACTCCAATTGGCTCATTCGCTTGCTTAAACTCAACGTTGATTCTGATTCCGCAGAACTGGGTTTGGTGTGAAAAAGCATTTGTTGTTAACATTCTTTTTTCATTCGGTTTTTCCAGTTACGAGTCTTTTTTTAAAGCCGATCGTTTTGTGTTCATTTTGTTTAATTTTTAGTTTAAGAAACGAGAAGAGGTCAGATGGAGCTAAGTCTGGTGATAGTACGACATCTCTCATTCAAAACCATACAAAGAATAACATCAACTTGTTCATCAAAGGTTGAGATTTATGGCCGATCTGACCGATAATCATCTTCTGTGTTCTGCCTGCCCTGCTCGAATTCCGCAGCCCATTTCTCCACAGTTGCATAGGAAAGGGATCCTAAGGAAGTGTCTGCACAATGTCTTCATGAATTTCCTAGGATCTTATACCTTTCTTTTGCAGATACTTAATAACTGTTCGGGCCTCTGTTTTGTTCAGTTTCAGTTTCTTCACACAATTTTCACGGTTCTATGGGCCTCTCCTGCGCAGAAATTAAGACAGAAATATGAATTACCTCAGTATTAAAAGAAGTGGTAATATGTCCCCTCAACAGAAATGTTCCGCTATGGCTCTTCTTTCTGGGTGAGCCTTAGAACTTTTTGAACTACATTCATATTCTTTTTTTTTTTCAGAAATGATGATTAATTAAAGACTCTCAGCATGTAAACACTAACACTGATCGATAACAATTTCAAGACAGCTTGAAAACATTTAATCCGGTGACCGTGATTTTTTTTTTTTTTTTAAGCATTTCACCCCAAGCAAGGCGGGAAGCCACTAGGACGCAAGGGGTTACAGAAAATAGCAAGATCAGATTGGAGTGATAGAAGAAAGGATGAAGGTAGTGGATAGATTAAGGCAACTGGAGATGTGGATTGACATTACACTTGAATAGCTGGAGATTATAGCTCACAGGGAAACAGGAGAAGTGAAGGGATTTCCACAGGCGAGAGGTGCGAGACATGAAGCTATTAGAGTAGAAGAGACGGCTACATTTAGGAGTTTCGACAGTGAAGGGCTGAGAGCAGGATGCCAGCCTTGTAGGGCGCTGGAACTCGTGACGTCTGGGAACCAGCGAATGCAGCTCCTCGAAGCAATTTCCATGAAAGTATTTGTAGAACAGACAGAGGGAGGCGACGGCGCGTCTGTGAGAAAGTGACTGTAGACGAGACGCCAGGGCAGGGCCAACCATATTGCATATCCGCTTCTACTTTTGTTGCTAGATTATCCTGGCATTGTATATTATTAGGAAAGATGCCTAGGCGAATCTAATACACTCAACACATATGGAAGGCAAAAGAATTTGTGGGAAGAATCAAGAAACCAGTTTCTTTTTATTTTAGTTTCAGAAAGAGGAAGAGGTCAGATGGAACTAAGTCTAGTGATAGTACTACGTCTGTCATCCAAAACCATAGGATGACTAGCATCAACTTGTTCATCAGTACCTGAGGTTTATGGCCGACCTGGCCGAGGATCATCTTCAGTGCTTTCCCTGTCCCGCTTGAATTCTGCAGTTCACTTCTTCACAGTTGCATAGGGATGGGATCCTAAGAAATTGTGTGCATTATGTCCTCATGAATTTTCTAGGATCTTATACCTTTCCTTTGCAGATGCTTTATGACTGATCTGACCTCTGTTTTGTCCATTTTTAGTTTAGTTGCACACTTCTCACATTTGTACGGGCCTCGTCTGCGCAGAATTTAAGACAGAAAGCTGAATTACTTCAGTATTATAAGAAGTGGTAATGTGTTACCACAACAAAAATGTTCCATGGATCTTCTTTCTGGTTGAGCCTTAGAACTTTTTGAACTACACTCATATTCTTTTTTCTGAGATGATGATTAATTAAAGAGGCTCCAGCATGAAAACACTAACATTACTTGATCGTAAGATGCCAATTTCAAAACAGCTTGAAAACATTTAATCCGGTGACCGTGATATCTACTACTTTTGTTATTAGATTATCCCGGCATTGCACATTATTAGGAATGAAGCCTGGGATAATCTAATACATTCAACACATATAGTAGTTGAATAAATTTGAGGAAAGAATCAAGAAACCAACTTCTTGTTAATCGAATTTAACCCAAGCAAGGCAGTAAAGCCGCTAAGATACAACGGGTTACAGAGTTTGAAAGGATAAGAAAAAAGTGAAACGTTATTAAGCAGCGAGTAGAAGAGTAATCAGGAAGATAGTAGATAACGATAGACATTGCCTTTACATTTTGGAAGATCAAAGTTGGCGAAAAATCAAGAAGCCGGAAGAGATTCCACAGGGGAGAAGTGCGAGGAAAAAACTGCAGTTACATCAAGCCAAATTAAGCTGTAAAATAGTGAAACCTTGTTCACAATTTAGAATAATAAAAATTAAGCAAAAGATGAACAATATCCTAAACAAATATCATACCCTTTCTAAACATTGAAGTTGCCTTTAAACTTTTGAATATCAAGATAGGTTGGAAACCATAAAACCTTAAGAGAGCTCACATTGGAGCAAGAAAGGGTGAGTGGAAATACGTGTTTTTTTTTTTTTTTTTATTTTGTTTTTTTTTTATGGTTTTCTCGTATTTCTTTCCATTGTTTTGCCATAAGGTGATTTGAGGAGAAAAAGAAAAAAGAAAAAGTCCGCGAACATAATTTTCACTATCTGCCGTCAATGACAATATAAACTAGTTATAACGTGTCTGAGACCAGAAGGTAATGTGGCCTCAGGGTTTTCAACCGGAAATACATGCAAAGAAACCAATCTATGCGCGACATGGCACTACAATCATCCCGATATTATGCGAGTGTTGATCAGAGTAGCCTTTCTAAGTGCAACCAATGAGTTCGGGCTCCTAACTACTCGTCGGATGCAGTGGACACCGAACAGTCAAACTGGTACCCGGTATAAAGGAAAGTCGCAGCCACTGATTAGTCGGATCACCAAAAATTTTAGTTAAAATATTTTGGCCTTGGAAGAAAGAAAGAAAGAAAGAACTGCGGAACAATAAAATATCATATCCGTTCTAAACAACTATCATATCATTTCTCTTCTGTTTAATAATCCTAGCAAGAGTGCGAGCCGGTGTAAACCGGCTCGCACTCTTGTCATTGTTATAACTCTTGTCATTGTTATAACTAGTTTATATTGTAAAAGGCTGTTCAACAACTACCATACGGCTCATAACGAAGCAAATTTTACGGAAATCAGCAAAATACAGGAAGCTGTGAAGAGCTATAATCAACACTGCATGAAGGACCATGACAGAAGAAATATAAACTACAAAAATACGCTTTCTTTTTCACCTAAAAATTTCCTTTTCCTTTTTTTTTTTTTTTTTTTTTGGCAAATTTGACACACATCTGTTCTGTACTGGGAATCAGTGATAAAGAAAAGCGCCATTGTCGACACCTACTGGGTGAAATGTATTTTTTTTCTTGTATAATGTAATTGAATTAGTAATGATTTAAACAAAGGAATGCAATAAACATGAGTAACAAAAGATTTGCTCGTCATCAGAAAATAGTTCGCGCTTTTCTAACGTTAATTATATACAATACAATTGTTTTACTAATGATTTTACGGGAGCAATCACTGCAATCTATTTTACAAAAGAAGTTATTCGCCAGTGATTTTTATAAAGAAATGTATTAAAACTTACGACATAGTTTTATTGTAACTAACGTATTTGAAGGCATATAAGGCGCACATTTTTTACTAAAAATACCTTTGAAAATTCCCCTGCGTCTTCTATGCCATATGTAGCTTTACTAATTTTACTAATTACTAGTTTTTTTCTTGATTTGCCCTGCTGAAATAGGGGTGTGTCTTATATGCCGTCATATACGGTAATTAAAAAAAAATATTAATTTTTTATTAATTAATTCAAGCGTTACTGATATGAGTTTCTTTTATGTGCCGTGCCACTTCACGACGTAGGTGATCATTTTAACACTTTACCACTTTTTTTGTCACCGCTCTGCCATCCACTCACTTCAGAGTATTGTCTCAGATGCTAATTTTTTATTGTCCCTCTTGCCTTCAGTATGCCCTGTGAGTGATAAAGTTTCCAATCCTTCTCTCCTCATAAAATTGTCCCAGATATTTCAACTGGCTCTTCCTGATTTTACGTATGTGTCCTTGTTGACAATTCCTCACTATGGTATTTACGGACAAATCACGTTGAAACATCGGTTCCCATACGATCATCGAAGTTAAGCAACATCGAGTTTGGTCAGTACCTAGATGGGTGACCGCTTGGGTATACCACGCGATGTAAGTTTGGATGTGCGTATCGTGTACGGCTTCGGAATTACTAATCAGAGAGCCGAGTTCCAATTCCGTTTGTGTTCGTTATATTCACTTACACGCAAATAACCCTGGGAAAGATATGAATCAAATAATTCTCCCCCAGCTATGGGTTAATTAGTAAGACGTGTATCACTGCAACTATGAACATCCCCAACAGAATTTTTGGAATCGTGCAACTCCCTAATCGGCCGTCCAAGGCTTCCAACACCACGGCTGGTCATTGAAATGACCGCTTCAATCCAGAGCTAACCTTATCCCACGTTGTGATTTAAGGTTGATCATAAGGCAGTCAAGATAGAATCGTCGCAGATATCTTCGTGCTCGGCAAGTCCAAGCAGGGCAAAGACGTACAGGAAAAAATAACACACGAATAGATAGAACAAAAAGTAAATACTGTTTTATATCAGTTCTTCTTGGTTTATATCAGAGTTCGCATGTACTTAATTCTCAACCAACCTGCATCTAAATCGGAAGTGATATTATCGTTGTTGACTTGACAAAGTTAAGTTTGGTCAAGTTTGGCACAAGGCTGTCGTCGGAGGCTTTCGCCGGCAGATAATCACGTGGGCCTCTCTGCTGTCCCTGGTCTCGTCTCTTCCGCCTCTCTTCTCTCTTCTGCCTAATTCGCTTCGCGCGGTTGTATTTATGGACATTCACTCAAATTGGCGAATTAGGAGAATAGCGGTCTGTACAGTAATAGAGGCTAGAGTAGACATGGCGATACGAATAGTAATAGAGGATAGACTAGAAATGGCGATCCTTTAGACGTCACGCGACTTCCTAATTATGCGTTTCCTCTATGGACATGTAGTCTACTTAATTCAATAATGGGATCGCCTGTGTTTGCTAACTGACGATTAGTAAAACTTCTATCACTGTAGCTAATAATATCTCCACCAGAATTTTTGGAATCGTGCGGCACCCTGATCGATCGTCCAAGACTTCCAACAACACGGCTGGTCACTGAAGTGACCGATTCAATACAGAGCTAACCTTAACCCACGTTGTGATTTAAGGTTGGGTGGCCAAGATAGAATCGTCGCAGATATCTTCCTGCTGGGCGAGTCCAAGCAGAGCAAAGACGTACAGGAAAAAATAACACTCGTATAAATAGAACAAAAAGTAAATACTGTTTTATATGAGTTCTTCCTACAATAATTGTTTTATATCAGAGCTCGGATGCAATTAATTATCATCCCAACTCGCATCTAAATCGAAAGTGATATTATTGCTGACCTGGCAAAATCTGGTTTGCTTTCTTGTTTAAGTTTTGCACATGGCCGATGTCGGAGGCTTTCAGCGGCAGATAATCACGTGGGCCTCTCACTCCTGTCACTTCTGTATCTCTTCTACCGATCGTCTCGAGCATTCGTATTTATGAACATTCGCCCAAACTGGCATGCGGAGAATGGCGACTTAGGAGCATTTCGGTGAATCCACTCCGGCTTACGTCATAATTCTGGGGGAAATCTCTCTTTCAATCCTCTTATTATCCTCACACTATATCTCCCCAGTGAACGTGAGTGACTTATCCATCCGCTCCTGGTATTTCATCTCAACATTCGACCACGGGAATCAGCTCTAAATTCGTTGTTTACGAAAAATGAAATTTTCGCTTTATAGCTTGCATTTGCAGCTGTGTGTCAATCAACATTGCCCCCTAAGATTGGGTCATTTTTCCATTGTTCAAACTGCTCGGCATACAATTCAAGTCGTTTATGTGTGAATTAAATCCTCAATTCTTATAGCGGGTTTTTTTGGTATTAATCCTTCTCGTTTCAATGTCTCTCAGCACATAACACTTTCTATGGATGAGAAAACTTTCTTAAGTTTTATTTTACCGCGGTAACAACACATAGTATTACATTTTTACAATTATAATATTTTCTGGCTTTAAATAACCTGGAAAATGTTGATAAGCCGTAGAAAACGAATCATTCAATTATTCCATACTTATTCGGTTCATGGCATACGCATCACTGTTGTTTGGAAACTCTTCTTCATGTGTAAGGATTCACTGCAGTTTAGCAATCTTTCGCTATTCAGAGGTGCCTTAAGATCCCTGTGTTATATTTTCCGTCAACTCTTACTATATCTCCTCATTGCCTTTCATCAGTGTTGAAAATTGACTAATGCATGGAATAATAATGCAACACAAAATGTACTTAGAACAAAATGTATTGAAACAAGAAAGTGTACACAATATTTACATATAGTCTTTTGTATATTCCTGGGAAGACCGTTCCTGGAGACTGTGTTGACTTAGTCGCAGTCGGGCAGAGTCTCTGGATTGAATCTCTTGATTCCTCTCACTCTCTTCCCGGTACCAACCATATTTATATGGTCGGTACTTCACTATGCAAATTAGGTGGATCCTACCACAGCAATCAGTATGGCTGATGCTAGCCTCCAGGAAATTGATTTGTTACGCCTTCTCGGGCTAACATTCTCAGAAAGTGGAAAGACTATATTAAATCCATTGGTAGGTCAGCTGCTAAGAATGTCGGTTCACCATGTCCGGAATCTATCTTACATATTGATATAATGGAATATGTGTACATCTGTGTTCCCCCTCACTGGAATATGATTGGCCGGTGTCCGTCATAAATACCGACGGACGTGTACGATAGTCAGAGCCTTAGTCTGAGAGCTAAGTCTATAACGACGCCCATTGGACTACGCCATTGATCTACACTTCTTACCTGCGACTACGACACGTACCAGTCGATTACTGCTACCGTATTCTACGCGGTTATAGTAGCCAAAACCACTTAGCTACTTCGTTCAAATATATCCCTTTCCGGGATATATCACATATTTATAAGTTGCCCATTCATCTATGCATAGAATATTTCAGCCACATATGATCTGGTACCCCTGATATTCTTCTTCAGCTCCTTGATAAGTTCCAAAAAAGGATAAGCGATATTATCGGTCCTGATCTGGAAGCTCGGCTTCAGTCACTTTCCCACCGCTATAGGGTTGCCTCTCTCTGTCTTTTCTATAAATACTTTCACGGTAATTGAATTATGCAATGAACATAAACTGGCAGTTTATTTCAACATATAATTCATTGTAAGTGATTTTAACACAGAAATACAATTCATTTTTGCTTTAATCATTTCACTGTAAGCAAGCCAATATACAAACGAAAACTGAGTGTCAAAAAATAACTATTGACACTGCATTTGGCTTACGGCCACATCACGTTTGCCATACAATCATCGAAATTAAGCCACGCCGAGCCTGGTTATTACCTCAATGGGTAACCGCTTGAAAATAGCAAGGGCTGCACGTTGGAATATGCAGGTGGTGTATTGTCTAATAGCTCGGAATTATTAATCAGAGAGCCGAGTTTCAATTCCAGTTGGGTTCGTTATCTTCACTTATGCACAAATAACCTGGGGAAAGATATGAATCAAATTCTTCTCTCCCAAGCTATGGGTTAATTAATAAAACTTGTGTCAGAAAACCAGTATCATACTTATTATAAAACCCAGGTTGTGTGTGTGTGTCTGTTTCGTTTATATATTGGATCGGATTTCCTACATTTTTCAACCGATTTCAACAAAACTTCACAGGACTACGTATAATTACCTTGTGGTGGTTCTGACAGCGCTAAAAACTGGAAAAACACAGTTGTTTTTGCACGAAATCAATTTGAAAACACGATTAAGAGGCGAGAATGAAAGGGGGACAACTCATATCGAGTTATGCTTATTATAAAACCCAGGTTGTTTGTGAATGTGTGTCTGTGTTCGTTTATATATGGGATCGGATTTCCTACATTTTTCAACCGATTTCAACAAAACTTCACTTTTTCTTTTGGCAGGTAGTGTTTCTTATTGTCATGCACACTTTTTTCTTTATTTTTACATTCAGAATGCTTTAAAAATTCCATTTACAAGACAATTGTTTATAATAAAATTCTATTCAATCGGTAGACTCATAATGATTGAAAACAATGTTTTTGTTTGAGTTTGGGTTTGACCAATTCGTAAAAAAAAAAAAAGAAAAAAAAAACTAATTAAGACATGCGTGTCCGTCAACCTTAAACATTAATCTTTGTCAATTTTATATTTCAGTCTTTATGATGGTCGATACTTGATCTGTCTCTTACTGTTACATCACCGGGCAACGCCGGGCTCTACTGCTAGTTGTTTCTAAAAATAAAATAAAATTGTGTGCAAAATATTTATCTTTCAGCTTTAAATAACCTGTAAATTGTTGATAGGCTGCGAAACAAAAACAGACAAAAACAACAATATTGCGTTTAATATTTTACAAGATTGCGTTTAAATTTTACAAGATCAAAGTTAACTGGATAAACTGGAGCCAGAAGAGAATCCCACAAGCGAGAAGTGCGAGAAAAGAAGCGGTTAGCTAGACCTTACGGCTACATATGGCCAGATCTAATTTCAACTCATCTTTATATAACTCACAATTTTCTTCCTTTCAACTCAAAACAGGGAATTTCTACGAAAATGGCATAATGTCAGAACAATGGGAGACAGTTGTTAAAAACAAAGGAAACATTTGACTAATAAATTTTTTGGGGGGAAGTATGTAAAATTTTGTTTTTGAGTTTCTAATCGTGTACGAACTTTACAATGATCTAACGTATGCGTATTTTTTTAATCATTTCACCCCATGCAAGGCAGTAAAGCCACCAAGACATAAAAGGTTAGTGTGTGTAAGAAAAATAAAAAACAAGAGAAACATTATTAAGGAGAGAGAACAATATAAAAGCAATCAAGAAGATATAACGATTGACATTATATTTAAATTTTGGAAGATCAAAGTTGATACCAATGTAGAGACGGAAGAGGGTTCCACAAGCGAGAAGTACAACTGAAGAAACTGGTAGCATAGAGGTTATGTTTACATCTAGCTAATTTGACTGTAAAATGATGGGACCTAGATGCCAATCGAGTACTCTCCTTCCTTAAGTTCTTAAAGTCGCGTGCA